AAAAAAAAAAAAAAAAAAAAAAAAAAAAAAAAAAAAAAAAAAAAAAAGCAAAAGCAAAAAGCTGATGTGTCTGTCTATTGTGTGGCCGTATATTATGTATGTTATGTGTGTATACACGCATTTGCTGCGCGTTACGTCCGCTTGTCCGCGCCGCTGAGAAAATATTATACGAGTACGTATAAAGATGAGGGAAGAAATGGAGGAAATAAGGAAGGAGTATGAAAGGCGGACGGACAGTAGTATATAAGCGGATGCAGCGTTTATACACGTGTACATATGATGGCTGTAGTGCGAGAAAGAGCTGTAAGGTCAAAGTGGCCGTGCTGGGAAACTAAAGAGACATGTACTTTTGTTGTTTTCGCTTCGTCGCGGCATCAGGGAATCCGGCGAGAATCCGGAGTTTATGAAGGTGAGACTTGCAATTTTTCCTACGATATAATTATGCAAGGGAGAAAGAATGGATTGAAAACGAGTGACCTCGTTTTGCAGAGACAAGAACAGAAGAGGAGTGATCTTGACGAGCAGCTCAAGGAATATATCGCGGAATGGAGAAAACAGAGGGCAAAGGAGGAAGAGGAGCTGAAGCGGCTGAAGGTGCGTTTTTCTTACTTTTTTTTTCCCCCCTCTCTCTCTCTCTCTCTCTCTCTCTCTCTATGGCTCACTGGATTAACCATCGTTGAAACAGGAGAAGCAAGCGAAGCGCAAGATCTCGCGCGCCGAGGAGGAGAAGCGACTGGCCCAAAAGAAAAAGGAGGAGGAGGAGCGCCGCCAACGTGAGATCGGTAACGTGTCCCTTTTATTATTGTCCAACTTGTAAATATACATCGTCAAGTCGATGGTGGTGAAACCGTGGTGATTTGCAGAGGAGAAGAAACAACGGGATATCGAGGAGAAGAGGAGACGCCTGGAGGAGTCGGAGAAGAAGCGCCAGGCCATGATGCAGGCGATGAAGGACCAAGCGAGCAAGAAAGGCCCCAACTTCACCATCCAGAAGAAAGACCTATCTGTTAGTCCTACGACACACCTTAAAAAATCCGATAACGATATTTGACACATTTTTCATGTCCACTCGTGTTACGTACAGGGCAACCTCACGTCAGCACAGCTCGAACGCAACAAGACGAAAGAGCAGCTCGAGGAGGAGAAGAAAATATCACTGAGCATCCGCATCAAGCCCTTGGAAATCGAGAACCTCAACATCGACAAGCTGCGCAACAAAGCGACCGAGCTCTGGGAGGCCATCGTCAAACTTGAGACCGAAAAGTACGATCTTGAGGAGCGCCAGAAGCGCCAGGACTACGATGTGAGTCCCTTTTCCTCGTGACAAGTACGCGCACGTAAAGACATTTTTTAATTGAAAAAAAAAAATAAAAAAAAATACAAAATTACAGCTCAAGGAACTCAAGGAGCGACAAAAGCAGCAGCTCAGGCACAAGGCCCTCAAAAAGGGCTTGGACCCCGAAGCCCTCACGGGCAAATATCCCGTGAGTGTCCACATACTACAACACAAAATATATATATATATAGCTCGGCTCGGGCATTAATAGACGAATTTGCCAAGAAAACTCGGCATGATTGATCACGCGAGACCCGCAACTAAATATCGGAGGATTAATTGGAAAAGCAGTCGCGTGTCTCAAACCCTGGCTCGTTGACTGTTTGGCGCGAGCGGGGGGGGGGGGGGGCAAAAAAAGTTTACAGCCATCCCAAGTATTCGACGCGTGCCAGCAATTTGGGTGGATTTTGACGATTCGCGATCGCCTGTAAACGCATTCTCGAGTAATATACATATACGCGGTGTGCAGAAATAGCTTGGCTCTTTGTACGCGTAGGTACATAGGGATAAAGGAAAGTTTTATATATTATATGTATACGTCGTTAACACATTGTATACGTCATGTCCTGCAGCTCTGCTCACCCAACAAAACCCTTTTTTGTTTCTCTCTCT